GTTTGGAAGCTGATATGTGATAATTATAGTCCCAGTAAGTATAATACTCCAAACTGTTGACCCTTGACCTTGCCTTATTACATAATTTATTATTCAAAATAGTCTCAGCCTGGCCGAGTCAGTTTTGTTTGTGGTTTCTTACAGGGGCTACTGTTCCCGTAGACAAAGACGTCTTCGAAAAACACTCAACTTCAAGATGGGGAACAGACACAAATTCACAGGGAAGAAAGTGACTGAAGATCTGCTGACTGATAATAGGTAATGACTGCTCTGTGCTAGTTGCAAATTACATCCTGCTAATGCATTTATTGAACAATGACAGTGTGCTAGACTTCACACTAAACCTTTTAATTATCTCTGGTGACTCTTTTAGCAGCTCTGTGGGCTGGGCATTGTTTACTATTCCTGCGTTATAAGGCAAGGAAACTGAGGCTCAGAGAGGTTCAGTAGCTTGTTCAAGAACTGTGTTGGGGCAGGGCACAGTGGCTCACACTTGTAATCCAAACATTTTTGGAGGCCAAGGTAGGTGGATCACTTGCAGTCAGAAGTTCAAGGCCAGCCTGAACAACATGGCAAAACCCCATCTCTACTAAAAAATGCAAAAATTAGCCAGGTGTGGTCGCGGGCATCTGTAATCCCAGATGCTGGAGGCTGAGGCAGGAGAATAGCTTGAACTTGGGAGGCAGAGGTTGATGTGAGCTGAGATTGCGCCGTTGCACTCCATCCTAGGCAGTAAGAGTGAAATTCCATCTCAAAAAAAAGAGAGGTGGTTCCCTCTCTCAGCTTTGGAGCTCCCACCCTGTGTCTCTGTACAGGGAAATTTCTTCCTTCTTGCCTATTAAACTCTTTGCTCCCTAAAAAAAAAAAAACAGAAGTGTGTTGGGATGCCAAATGTTGAAGTCAGTGATTAGAATCTAATTGATTATTAGGTAAGGTTTCCAGAATGTAAACTCCAATGTCTAAAACTAGATGCTTAAATCAATATATCTTAATGAAATTGAGTGGTGTGTAATTTTTTTTTTTTTTTGGAGACAAAGTCTCTCTCTGTTGCCCAGGCTGGAGTGCAGTGGTGTGATCTCGGCTCACTGCAACCCCAACCTCCCGGATTCAAGTAGTTCTCCTGCCTCAGCCTCCCATGTAGCTGGAATTACAGTCACGTGCCACCACACCATCTGATTTTTGTATTTTTAGTAGAGACAGGATTTCACCAGGTTGGTCTCGAGCTGATCCACCTACCTTGGCCTCCCACAGTGCTGGGATTACAGGTGTGAGCCACCGTGCCCTGCTGGTGTGTGAAGTATTATAGAAGAGTCCTGTATTTCAGTGCTGAATGCACCAGCGCTTAGCATTTCCTGAAGAATTTTTAGTCTGTCAAGCAACATATAGTGAAGGTCTCCAGGTCTTCCTCACACTTATGGGCCAAATTATGCTCCTGTCACCTTTTGTGTAAATGAAGTTTTATTGGAACCCAGCCACACTTATTTACATAGGTATTGTTTATAGCTACTTTTGTGCTACATCAGCAGAGTAGTTGTGACACACTAGATATAGGAGAGGCGGCATGATCCTTGAACCTTATTGACTTTCATCTTGTTGAAAGATGTTGGTCAATGCAAACCAGGGAATGCTACAGCAGAAGTGCCATGTTGTGTATCATTTACTGTTCAGCATTCTGAAGCCTTGGAAAGGAGACTTTAGGTTGAAGGCTCTTGACAGGGAAGTCAGTAAGCCTGCATGGAGGAGGCTTGACCTTGAAGGATTTGCGAGAGTTAAGAGCATCCCGTGTCTGGGGAAACAGCATGCTGTGGTATCTGTGCGTGCAGTTTAGGAACTGGAAAGCTCTGGACACTTGCTACCTGCTGCTCAGGCAGTGAAAAGCCTGTGAGCTTGGCGTGTAGGCCACAGTCAGAAAACTAGAGCCTGGAGGTCATCATAGGATGCAGCATTAAATCTGATGAGAATGCCAGTTAGGAGAAATCTCCCTTGCCCTTTTTTTGAGACAGTCTCACTGTCACCCAGGCTGGAGTGCAGCAGTGGGATTATAGCTTACTGCAGCCTTAAGCTGCTCATGTGTCACCCTCTTGAGTAGCTGGGACTGTAGTTGCGTACCATCATGCCTACCTAACTTCTCTTTGTTTCTTTTGTAGAGATGGGATCTCGCTATGCTGACCAGGCTGGTTTCAAACTCCTGGCCCCAAGCAATCCTCCCACCTCGGCCTCCCAGTGTGCTGCGATTGCAGATATGAGCCACTACACCATGCCTGTACTCTCTTATGATATCAAGATCCTTTACTGTGAAGAGTCAAGGTTAAGCTGAAGTTTAAGACAGATTGATGAAAGGAGCAAAGAAAGATTCACCTCTATAATAATAAAGAGTTAACTAATTTATTGAGCTTAGTAAGCGCCAGGCTCTGGTCTAAATGTGTTATTTCTATTGCTGCATAGGAGAGTGGTGCACAGAAACGTTAGTACTCTGCCCACAGTCACACAGCTAGTGAGTGGTGGCACTGGGGTTCTAACCCAGGCTCTGGAGCCCTTGTTCATCACCACTTTAATATACTGCCCCCGCCCCTTTTTTTTGAGACGGAGTCTCGCTGTTGCCCAGACTTCAGTACAGTGGCTCCATCTCGACTTACCGCAACCCCTGCCTCCTGGGTTCAACCTTAGCCTCCCCAGAAGCTGGGATTACAGGCATGTGCCACAATACCCAGCTAATTTTTGTATTTTTAGTAGAGATGGGGTTTTACCATGTTGACCAGGCTTGTCTCGAGCTCTTGACCTTAGGTGATCTGCCCGCCTTGGCCTCTCAAAGTGGTGGGATTACAGGGGTGAACCACCATGCCCAGTAAATATACTGCTTTTTTTTTTTTTTTTTTTTTTTTTTGGTGGTTTATTTTTCTTGTTTTTGGGGCTTGTGTGCAATGGTGGGATCTCCACTCACTGCAACCTCTCCTTCCTGGGTTCAAGCAATTCTCTAGCCTCAGCCTCCCAAGTAGCTGGGATTATAGACACCCACCACCATGCCTGGCTAATTTTTGTATTTTTAATAGAGACAGGGTTTCACCATGTTGGCCGGGCTGGTCTGGAATGCTTGACCTCAGGTGATCCGCCCACCTCGGCCTTTCAAAGTGCTGGGATTACAGGTGTGAGCTACCACACCTGTAAGGACTTTTCTAACTGGGTTGAGATGAAGGAGGTATTGATTCAAAGATGAGGCTAGATCGTGTGCCTGGACTGTGTCTGACAGAATTTAGGCGGGGTAGGTCGCGATTCTGGGTTTGCCGAGTTCGAGGCAGCAGAGGCTTTTCAATGAGATATGTCCAGTAGATGATAAGAAACCTGAGATTGAGTCCAGGTTGCGAATACAGGTACTGGCTTAGAGTCGTGGCTAATAATGTCAGAAGAGTTGTTTTGAGAGCGACAAAAGAGGGAGAGTATAAAAAAAGTTGAGAAGCTGAAGATTCCACCTCGGAGAATATCTGGGTCTGCGGAGGGCCTTTATTGTCTCCCCTCGTCTGTCTCTCATCTAGATACTTGCTTCTGGTTCTGATGGATGCCGAAAGAGCCTGGAGCTATGCAATGCAGCTCAAACAGGAAGCCAACACTGAACCCCGAAAACGGTTTCACTTGTTATCTCGCCTACGCAAAGCTGTGAAGCATGCAGAGGAATTGGAACGCCTGTGTGAGAGCAATCGTGTAGATGCTAAGACCAAGTTAGAGGCTCAGGTTAGTGCCTTAACATCCAGCTTGTTTTATTGTGGAGAATCAAGACATTTTATTTATTTATTTATTTATTTATTTTTAGAGATGGGGTTTCACCTTGTTGGTGAGGGTGGTTTCGAACTCCTGGCCTCAGGTGATCCACCCACCTCGGCCTCGCAAAGTGCTGGGATTATAGGTGTGAGCCACCACGCCCGGCCTCAAGATGTTTTAAAAAGCTACAGTTAAACAGAGCAGAGTTTCTTAATGTTAGAAAGTGATAGGAGAGGAAAGAACTTCCTGAACTTGCTTTTAAAAGGTGAAGTTAGCGTCTTTTGTTTATGAGCTCTTGAGTTTTTATGTTTTTTTTTTCTTTTATTGAGAAGGAGTCTCGCTCTGCTGCCCAGGCTGGA